AAAGGGGGAGTGTATACAAATGCAAATAAGAAGATAAAAATTAACCTTGCAGAACAGTAAAAAATATATTTTAAGGTAACCTCTTGCATTTTAGTTTGAGTCACTTCCCTTGCTCTTTCTAACTGAGCGAAGGTGATGCTTGCTAGATCCTGAACAACAAGTGAATGTTGTTGGTGCTCTCTCTTCAGATACTTGGTAAACTTGGGTTGTATCAAGCCTCTTTGTGACCTGCTGACTGTCATGGACTCCAAGATTGTTCAGGTGGCGTTGAACGGCCTGGAGAACATATTGAGGCTTGGAGAGCAGGAAGCCAACCAGAGTGGGACAGGCATCAACCCGTACTGTAGCCTGATTGAGGAGGCCTATGGTAGGTTGTGGCTGGGGGCCTTGGTGCTACTGACTTTAAGGCTGTAGGATGTATTGAAAGGCATCTGCTGGTTTCGTTCATTGCTTTTCTGCTGCATTAAGGGATTTGGTATATTCCAAACTAGCCAATATTTGTTTCAATAGTCTGTCTTTTTAGACTGTTATGATGGGGCATAGAACAAAATACTTGGAAGTAAAAACTATCATAGTCCTGCTGCAAGCTTCCTAGATCTGGAGGCCAAGCTGGTAATTGTGGCTCTCGCCAACTGGGAGCATTAATCAGAAATAAGCTGAGCTAAGTAAAAAGTGACACTTCTGGGTATGAGATTGCTCTAACTGTACCCTATTGTACGCTGTGGATGTATAGTGGAAATCCAGAGAGACTCAGCTTTTCCCTGGAGTGACTTAATTTGGTGGGTTTTTTTGTCCTGCTCCTAATGCTTTGAGGAACGGTTCCTATTTTGGTCTGAAACTCCCTGTATACTGCCAGTGTCTGATTTGCCCTCTCACTGACTGTTACATTGTGTGTCCTGATTCTCCCAGTAAGAATAATTCTTGAAATTCTTGAGAGTATATTGTGCTTGGATGCTTTCTGGTCAGCAGTGGATTTAATTAGGACAGCTAAAGCTATTGCTGCCCTTCTGCTGGAGGCTACTGGGACGGGCTCTGCTTCCTTCCCCTCCCTACCCCCTGCAAGGACCAAACTGTTCGCAGCCAGTTGTTTTAATTTCACTGAAATCTGGTTTAGTCTCTAGCAGAGAGCTGGGAGCACATCTGCTTTAGCTGCATCAGCGAAGCTACTATTGAAAAGGCGTTAATGCTGCCTGATGCAGATGAAATCCACAAGCAGCTCTGGAAGAGTTAGATTTAGATTTGCGGTTTGTGAACAGCACTGACATCTAACACAGACAAAGCTTTTGTGGTGAATAGGGGCAAGGGTGGAGGATGGATGTGGGGCAGGGTAAATATCAGGATCTCCTTGTTTCATCACATTCCACTTTTTTTCCTCCAAGGTTTGGATAAGATAGAGTTCCTACAGAGCCACGAGAACCAAGAGATCTACCAGAAGGCCTTTGACCTGATTGAGCACTACTTTGGAGTAGAGGATGACTCCACTCTAGCTCCCCAGGTAGATGAGAACCAGCAGCAATTCATCTTCCAGCAACCTGAAGCCCCCATGGAAGGTTTCCAGCTATAATGTGCCTGGGGGGGGAAAATACCACCACAAACTTGCCGGAAAGCAACTGGGAGCAGCTGATCGTCCCATCCCCTTCTCACAAATGGAAGGCTAAACACCCACTCCACCTGTTAGGAAACAATTCTTCCGTCAAACAAGTAGAAACAGTGCTTTGTCCTCACCGAGAGAAGGGGATGTTCTCTTTTTTTTTTTTTTTTTTTTTTCCTTTTTGCTGCTGCATACATGTCTTTAAAGCAGGCATCTGGGTGGAGGAAGGACACTGAGGTAACAGATTGCACCTCTTGGTTTTGTTTTTTTCCTTTGTGGTGATCTCTCCCAACTGTCACTTCTTACCTCGGGTACTTAATTGAGTTTTCAGCATTGGGCTGGGTAAGAACACAAATAGAAAGTAAGCATTCTGACAACAATAATTCTGGAAACCTGGGTTGATCTATTTAATTTTTTTGCACATGTTACTCTTTATTAAAGACTCTAATTTGCCAAGAGCAAAGTTTAGCCCTGGCCTTTCTGCGACCCTCCTTCAGCGGACAGTCCTGTTGAACCTGGGCCAAGTTCCCCTGAAGTATACTGTAAATGGACAGAGAAATGGGAAGTTCTCCCACTCCTGGGAAGATTTGGTTTTGTTTTGTTTTTTTTTTTTCTTGGGGGGAGGCTTCTTCCCTTTGTCTAGATTTTTTTTTTTTTTTTTTTGGGGGGGGGGTTTTTCCCTTTTTCTTAATTTTTTTTTTTTTTTTTTTGGAAGAACTGCTAGTGGTATTTACAAGGAGAAAAAAAAAAAGGCAACAAGACCCCAAAGATGGTAACTCTGAAGAGGGCGGGATGCTTGGGTGGTGTTTGGAAGAGGAAGCACAGCTGCCATTGCACAGGCTTTGTTTGCATTGCTACTGACTGAAGTCACGGAACTGTTGAAATGGTGAAAACCCATCTTCATCTTTACTTGAAATATTATATTTTTTTTTTTCCATGAGAACATGTTTGGAGTTCTGGGTTTTTTTTTTCTGACTTGGGTTGGGGTGGATCACTGTAATGGGTTGGAGGAAGAGGACAGAGCTACACTTGGCAGCAGTGTTGTGTGCGCTGTTAACTTCAGTAGCAACAGGCCTGAGTTTTCAGGTTTACCTCCTGCTCACAGCTGGATCATGTACATTTTACTTCCAAAAAAAAAAATCAAATCTCTGTATTTTTTATATTATATATAGCTAGATATTTGTCTAATTGGGCTTCAGAGAAAAATATATATGAAATTTCTGTAATTTATGTAAATAGAGCACTGTGAGGCAGGCATACCTGGAAACGACGGCCCTCACTCACTCACTGGTTGTCCTGCTGCTTTTCCTCTGTTTACTCACGTACTGTATAAGTGACCATAGAGCTGTCTTAACGCAGAGCTGAGATTTCACTCAACGCAAGCGAACGTGCTGGGCTGCGGAGAACAAAAACCACGTCTGGCCTGGAGGAGGGGGGGGAGCGGTGGACGGGGAGAAGCGAGGCCTGGCGCAGCTCCGCCGGGACGAGTCCTTTCTTGTGAAACGAATAAACGACATCTGTGCCGTGGGTCTGGCTCCGGTCTCTGGGCCTTTGCGGGGCCGCCCTTCCCCGGGGTGGGTGAAAGGGGGGCGGGCTGGGCCGGTGTCTCCTCTCGGGTGGGGGCGGGAGGCTCCGCCGTGCCTC